GGCTGCAGGTTGGCACGGGACGCCGTCTTGACGAAGGGTGCGCCGCCCGCCCTCCTGCTTGGACAGGCAGAAGTCATCCTCGCGGCCCTCACCACCAGGGTACATCATGACCTCCAGCCGACACACCCACTGACACGGGCTGAACAACAACGGCACGCCGCGACCGTTAACCAGGGCCTCGTTGCTCACACGCACGAGCGAGAAGTCCGGCTTCCCGCCCTCATCGCCACCCGGCTGATGAATCTCGGGGATCTCACCGAGATTGGGGGGCCTTGGCAATCGAATGCAGACGACCGTGTACTACAGACCTGTGGCCACACACACAGCAGAGCAGAGCACAGCAGAGCAGAGCGGGCAGTCAGTCAGTCAGTCAGTCGGCATCAGGTATGTATTGAGGCTGACTGCACGGGATATGGCTCACTCACCTCGCGTCGCGTCTGCTGACGAAGTCCTTTGACCACACCGTCTCCCAGTCGACGCATACCCTCTCGACACGAACAACCCTCAGATATGTAACCTGTCGAGACGTCTGTCGCGGTCGTCAGGCACGAAGGACCTCTGCAATGCCACTCTTCGTCAAGACGCCGCCGCTCTGCTCAGCCACCCCACCCACACGGACACACCAACGGCAAGAGAGATGCGCTCCGGGATGGCGGCCCACATCTCTCCATCCAGATTCACACGCCGCACGTTGGGCTTCTCCCCCTCTCCACACCCACACCCACACCCACAACCCACACCAACGTGACCCTCGTCTACATCCATCTTGGCCAAACCAGACCCCTCCCAACCACCGCCACCAACACTTCCTGCCGCAGCAGCAGCTCCCTGTCATGGCCGCGTCCGCCCCCCTCCCCCCCTCTGTGGTCGTCATGGTTGTCGGGGTCGTCATCCGAGTACCACAGAGACATGTGGGCGGGTGGGTGCGTGGGCGTCACTGCCCGCCACACCCGAAAAGGTGTGTCGTGGTAGTGGCTATCCACCCAGCCGCCTCCTCCGCCGCCCTTTTGATGGCCGCCCTGGCGTCGTCTATCGCAATTGACGCAGTGGAGAGCAGCGAGAGGAGGCGGGTGTTGGCGTCCTGGTCCTCTGTGCGCACCGCCCATGTGTCCAGCCAAGCGCCGTTCTCGTCCACCCTCCTCCCCTCCAGCTCCCAGAGCTCCCACTCCCCACTGCGGGAGTTGAGCCGCCACCCCTCAAAGGCGCCCGGGTGCCACGGCAGCTCCACCACCATCGCCTTCCATGGCTGGAAAGGATTGGCGGGGGGCTGCACGCGCTGGGCATGGTGATATGTGGGGTTGACGGCTGGTGCGGGGTTGTGGAATGGGAATGAGGGCGGCCAGACGGGCATTGGTGGGGGCGGGCTGCTCTTCTGCTGGTGCTGCTGCTGCTGAGCTGCGCGGCACGGCATCGGCGTCGGCATGGTGGGGGCGGGCATTGGTGGGGGCGGGCTGCTCTTCTGCTGGTGCTGCTGCTGCTGAGCTGGGCGGCACGGCATCGGCGTCGGCATGGTGGGGGCGGGCATTGGTGCGGGCGGGCTGCTCTTCTGCTGGTGCTGCTGCTGTGGGGTGTTTGTGAGGCCGGTGGTGGGAGTGGGGATGTCCACCCGGTAGTGCGCAGATGCGCTCTCCCCCACGGCATCCGCCTCCAGCAGCTCCAGTGCCGTCTCTACGGCCGTCGCCAGCTCCTCGAGCGTCCCCCTGTCGACGCACCGGCGGCTTAGCCCTTTCTTGGCGGCGCGCGAGAGGATCGACTGCCACTCCTCCACCCACTCGAGACCTGGCAGGCCGTAGAAGGCGTTGAGGGGGCAGTCGTCCACCTCGCCGATGGTGGGGCGGCCATCGGTGCCGGTCACCTCGTCTAGTGCGGCGTCCCAGTCCAGCCCGCGCAGAGTGTCTTCCCGAAACAGCGGCGCCCTATCATACACCGCCTTCTCAATCACCCCGGCCCTCACGATGAGCCTCGCAATGAGGTGCCGGGTCAGGGTGTGTCCCCGCACCACACTATGCAGAAGCGCCGCCAGCCCCCAGACAATCGTTGGCGGCCCCATCCAGATGCCCTCCTTCTCCCCCTCGCCCACAAGCTCCCCGTCGCTCTTGAACTGCTCCCTCAGCCGCTCGGCCAGCTGACGCACGTTGGCGGTGATGGTCTCGCCCTGATTGGCCGGCACGCCACTCAAGAGGCCATCAAAGGTTTCCCCGGAGGGAAGCCCATCTGGCTTGCGCGCGTACTCCTCCATCTCGGCGACGTACACCGCGATCAGCTCGGGCGGCCGGAAGGACCGTGTGCCCGCGGGCGCCTGCTGCTCGGCCTGCTTGGCGGCTGCTGTGAGGGGGACGAGGGCGCAGGTGGGTGCGAGGTGTGCGGGAGGGGATGGGGGAGGGGCGTCGGTGGTGGGGGTCATGGCGGGTCCTGGCTGCTGCATCTTGACGACATTGGCGGCGTCAATGAAGCGGCTGTGGCAGGTGGAGGCCGGCTGGCAGGCCAAGGGGCGGGATGGCGAGTCGTCACCCAGCAGGGCGGACCATTCGATGAACACATTGTTGAGAAAGTGGTCGATGCAGAGCATCTTGTGCTTGAGCGCCTCCTTGTGTCCTCGAATGGCCTCACGCACCGCTCGAGTGATGACCAGCAGCCCCTCGCGGATGGCCAGCCGGTCGCTGGGCGTCCTCCCAGTCATGTTCGCCAGCAGCCGGACATTGAACAACGCCTCCTTGTGCTCAGTCTCAAACAGCAGCTTGCTCATCTCTACCCACCTCTCCTCTGACCACATACACACACACACACCAGCTGGTCCTCCCGTGTTCTGTCCTCCCCCCTCCCATCAGTGCAGTCAGTGCATGTGTGCAGTCACTCACCTCCCAGCAGTGGCATCCCGATGGCTACGCAGGGGATGGGGTTCCCGCTCTTTCTTATGAAGGTCGGCGCCGCGAGTGGGTCCGTGTCGGCGAAGAGGAGGGGCAGG